AAGGTTTGTTAGCTAGTGCTTGTTTACAGAATCTTCTCAGACTGCCGGCTAGTTCCCAGGTACAGGAATTCACTCTCTCCTGGAATGTTAGGGGGGCGTCAGCTTTCGCATCTTATCTCCAGTGCATTGCTCTGGAGACGAGATCACGTTCTTTACCCCCCTTCCAGTCCCATGCCGTTCCATCACAAAAACGTTCCCAAACACCCTCCACAAATTAATCCCTGTTGTTTCTGCACTTGCTTATTACCTTTCCCTTCGCTGTCTTCCAACCATCAGGTACCGATGCAGTCCTCCTGTGTTAAATAAGTTGCACAGCCATTCCATAAGCAAACCACATCCAAATTTTAACATTTCTCCTGTTACACCATCTATGTCTGCAGCCTTAGAATTTTTCAGCATTCTCATAGCATTTATGACTTCATTTTTTTCTTGGTCTCCATCATTTATTTATAGCATGTTTCCATTTGAGTCTTCAAGGTATCACTATTGTTCCGTACAAACTTTAAAAAACACCGCCCAGCATTCCCTCACTTCAGTTCCATCCCAAATTATTCCATCCCTTTAATTTTTAATTCTAGTCGCTCTGCTGGAGGCTCCTTGTTTAGCCCTTGACACTCAGTTCCAAAAGTGAAAGGAGGGACTGGGACTTTCGCTGCCATTAGTAGGAAATGCTGCCTGTAGGCACCCAAGCACCTCATCTACACTTTTTCTATCTTCCTAAAAACAGCAAGGGTACATACATATGTACAGTATGCCTGTATATGTGTGTGTGAGTATATGTGTGCATATATATATTCTCCTAACACTGAATTTCTTGGAAAAGGGTTAGAAACTGCTACCAAACAGTTCTGCCAACCTGGGTTTTCTGTTGCTTTCTTGTGGAAGCACTGAGCAACAGGCCCATGTTTGTGAAGACAGACAAGGAACAGGGGAAGGCACAGTAGCCTCAAGAGAAAGAAAACATGCTTTGCCAAAAAGAGTTGAAACGTCTAGAGAGGCAAGAAACTGAAAAGACATGGAAGAGAGAATGCCGCCACTGGCAGAGGCAATGAAAAAGGGAGGGATCTCAATTGGCTTCGCTACAGCCCAGATCCCAAAGGCACAGGAACAGGCAAAATGTTTTCTTTTGGTTTTTTTGCAGATAAAACTAATTTCTGAAGTAGTGAGAATGTGGAGTACCAATACGTAGATGTGGGCAGACGAGTCTCTCTAAATCTACACACACCAAGTATTCCTTTTTCAGTATGTTACTGGCAAAAAAAAGACAGTGCTTACATGAATCTCTCTCCCCCCTGAACAACAGTCAGGCAGGTGAATCATGGAGTAAAAAGAAGCTGGCTTAATCCTGTCCTCCCAAACAATTTTTGCTACCACCCAAAAGAGCCAGTAAACAGAAGCCAATTCCAGGAAGCAATTTTATTGAACTGTCTCTGCTCATAATAAATAGAGCTGTAGAACAGAAAAGTGGAGGGAAGGGAGAGGACATTACACAACAAAGGCAGTTGAGTCACAGGAATCTTCCCCGTGTTCTAAACACACGTACGCACATACACACAAACACAGCTTCATCCTCTTCTAAGCACTGCTTTCCACATGGACTATAAGCATAACCAACAGAAACATTGGCTAAGATGACTGGTAATCCTGGGAATGAGAGATGGAGTCCAATCCACCTTGGTCACTCCTGTGTCAGGGAGTGAATGATGTCTTTCACCAACATGGTACCAATCAACATCTTCTCACTGTTGATGGTAAGCTGTGCCAAGTTGTCCGACTTCTTCTCCAACGTGATCAGGATGAGGCATCCACCACTCACTGTTTTAGCAGCAAATCTGTCCAGGGGAAAGCACCAAGAAAACACCAACAAAAAGCTAAGAGTGGCTGTAAGCATTAGAATAACTCCCCAAGGAACAGCTTTCTGGATGTGTTGGACTTCCACTCCCAGAATCTCCAAGGTAGAAACCACCAAGAGTAAAAAGACAGAAATGGTTGGAGAAAGGAGATGGAGTTTCCAAGCAAGATCCGAAGCCCTCTAAGTCCAGAAACCTTGTCATATGACCCAAAGAAATAAACAGACCCACCTTGCATATTCTCTTCAAGGAACTGGGCCATTTAGGCATAAAGCACTCCAGGATATTTCAACTCCTCCTTAAAACCTTAAAACTCTTGAAACTCTTGGTTCAATAGGAGAATGAAAATGTACCTTCAGGGCAAAGATATAGAAATCATAGCCCCAAAGAAGAATTATTAAATCCATGGGGAGCAAGCGTATTAACTCTATTGATATAATTTTAACTTACAAGAATATTTAAATTCTCTTAAATCAATTTGAATGTATGTAAATTACGACCCTATCCACTTCTTTAGAATGCAGCTCCTGGCATGTCAAAGATCAGGTGTAGTCTTTGGACTGAAAATGTTTGCATAACACCCTTGACGTAGAAGAGCTCAAATTGGACAATTTACTTGGCCTAACTCTAACCCTCTTACCAGAGTGTGGCATTATAGTGAGTGCTGGCTATATGTAGCTGTTCTGTGTCCCCCGCTTCCTTTGTCCCAACACAGCTAGAAATTACAGGGGAGCACTTAGATGCATTAGACGATATTTACCAAGTAGGATTCCCAACTTGATCTCTGGATATGTTGGGACTACAACTCCCAGAATGCCAGTTGGGAGTTCTGAGAGTTGGGAAGTATCAAGTTAAAGGCTACTTTGGTTCAAACCCATTAGCAAAAGAGTGAGATATCCAGATTTACTTCCAAAGAGAGGATCTGCCACTGAGATCCAAGGAATCTCTCCTTCCAAGAGGGGATCCAAGAAAGAAGGATGGGACTAGGAAAACACAGGCTATCAAAGGAGCCATTTCTTCACCTGTACTCTTTGTCCAAGCCACAGGGCACACGGCTAACATTAGCAGCGGCTGTAACTTTTTGCACAATCACATGGTCGCTCTGGCATGTATCTGGTAGAGTCAGCTTCTCTGTGATTTCACTCATCCCTGTTAACTTCCCTGGAGGTTAGAAGAGAAAAAAACAATAGCAATCCAGGCAAAGATAAAAATCTCATGGGAAAAGGATAGAGCAGGACTTGGGGGAAAATGCAATGAAGAAGTGGCAACTCCATTATGGTGTCATTCCAGAATGGGAGAACCCAACTATGAAGTAGCAGGGTGCAAAACCTTCCATCAAAAATGTTCTAACTCTGGAACAGCGTTTCAGAAAAAATCCAATTTCAAAATGGACTGCTTCAGTCAGACTTTGGGAATGCCCTACTACTCTTTTGCAAGTTGAAACATTCCCTGACAAAATGTTTTCTATGCCCCTTTGATGTGTAGTTTCTTCTCACTCCTTCTGTGAAAGGTCAAAATTAAAGATTTAAAGATAATTTGCTTGCCCACTTATCTCTCTCGGTTCCTGCATTCACAAAAAGGCAATTGATTCCTGTGATTTGGAACAATATTTATCAGCCATTTAGATTTTTCAGGGCAATGCTTTTCTGAAGATCTCTTGTCCATCCCTCAAAGAAAATCACAGCAGACTTATGAGGGCTATCATTCCTAAGGGATGGTAGATATCATAGAAGGATGACCGTAGACATTCTTCTTCCACCACTGGGAACTGTGAAGTTATCCCAGAAATGTACCCTCTTCTGCTTCAACCCCCTCCATGTACTGTTGTATTTCAAAATTGATACTATCTTGTTTCTGTGTCAAACTAGGACTGGGGAGACCCTGGTTGAAATCCACCCTTAGCTATGAAAGCTCACTTTGGGTCAATCAGTATCCTTCGGTCCAACCTTTCTCACAAGGTTGTCATTATTGGAACCAGGTCAACCTCTCTTAAGCTTCTGAAGGAAAGACAGATGTAAATCTACAAACAAGCAATTCTAGCTTACTCCTTGCTGTGTTATATACAGAATCCAAAATGGTGCTTCTCTGTGGTTTAGCTAAGTGAAAGATACTGATTAAAGCTCTCCAAAGTGAAGTGGAACCAAAGCAAATCATAAGAATTTCTGTACATGCAAACTCTTGTTGAGTACAAGAATGTATTGGATTTACTAGAGAGTTGTGCATTTGACCCTCATAAGCCAGGAACTTTTTAATATCAACCCCCACCTCCAGAATTAATCTTTTTATCGGCCATAGGAATGGCCATCTTGAGAAACGGTTAATTTCTCACAGTTAATTACTGGAGCCACCTTTGCAGAAACCAGAGTGCTGATCAGTGAATTGGAAAAGCTGGGGTCTGAAGGGTAAAAGTGCTCATGCCAAGAGTTGCTTCACTAGGGCATGCAGAAAGACTAGTGTTCAAACAGCAGACCAAGGAATGCCAAGGGATCTGTCCAAGACAAAGGAGGAAGGAAGATTGAAAGGGATGGAGATACAACAAGAGGCTCAAAGCCCACCTCCCGTGGAATTCTACCTGCCTTTGCTTGCGGGTGAGAAGCAGGGTATAAAATACATGCAGAGGTAGGCAGACAGAACTTAAGGGACAACCATGCTAGAAGCCTTAGACCAGATTCACACAGCCCACTAGGCCATGATACATTGACAAACCAGAACTGGCTGACGTCAGGCAACACGTTACTCCAAAAACAAAGCAACCATATTATGGCATGGTACATTGAGTGAACTAGTTCTGTGTGTCCTTTTCCAACCTCCAAATATCAAACCCTTCCAGTGAAGCTTGATGTTCTAACGCAGGACAACAGCAGACTTTGCTCCACAATCACTTCCCCAGCGTCCATCCTGGTAGATATCAAATTCCAGTCAAGAATGTTAAGAAACTCATTCCCTTGCTTGGCCAGAAAGAGGAATTTCAACCAAAGTCTGTTCCATTGTTCAGACAAAAACCAGGAGCAGCAGGAGCTCCCCTCCTGATAAAGGCATTGATCTGTAGAAGACACTTTTTCCCCTAGATCCAGGGCTTTGGGCAGATAGCCTCTAACACTTCCTGCTCTACCAATGCAATTTTTCCACTGCAACCCCGGGGAGTGGGGACTCTGTCCTGTGCTTCGGGTGTCTCCTAGGTCACAATACTAGCCTCCCCATTCTGGGTGACCAACAGAAGGGCCAGTCCTTGTTCACTTACCTAACTCTAGAGGAAAGGCACAGCTGAAGCTCAGTTTTGTGTTCAGTTTTTATTGGGCCCTCCTCTGTAAGAATTCTGATCTTTGTGCGCCGGGATCCCCTGTCCCACACTGGTGTATCCCCAGACTGGGTTCATTCAGGCAGAGGTGGTCCTCTCGGTCTATTAAGTGACCCGACAATATGCAAGGCACTAACCAACCCACTGCTGTGTTGCTATTTCTCTATTCATCTGCTGTAAGGGGGAAGAAAGTACCAGGGCCCTTTTATAGCTCTCTTGCTACTTGGCCCAGCCAGATGGAATTCCCACCAGAAAATAACACTGCAGCTGCTGAAGGACAACCCAGCAGCCAGGAACGTGTCTTAGCATCCATGCTAAAATATCCTTCCTCCTCCAGATTCCTATTTGTGCCTCACACAACAGCACAACGGCTCCCTCTTTCAGCTTTCCCACTGCTCCCGGAGTCTTTTAATTGGCCCTCACTTGGGATGTGTTTTGGACTCCCCAACTGAGCCTGCAGCCAGATTGGGAAGGATAAGTCAGGTGCCACCTTGCCTTCCCCTGGTTCCACCTCATGAACCCAAGTTCCTCCTTGTATTGAGAGGGCAGAAGCAACAGAGGGAAGGGTCGGGCCTTCAGTGAGAGAGAGAAAGGGTGTCCATGACAGAAGCTGTTCTAGTACCAGGGAGAGGGTCAGGTCAGCCTGTTTTCAAAGCAGTGCCTGTCTCAGGGCCGGAAAGGGAGGGTAGGAAAGAAGCAGTGCCGTTTGGACAGCTAGAAAGAGAGAGAAAGAGAGACCATCTGGGGAAGCAGGGCTAGCACTGTGGCTGAAGAGCAGAGAGCTGTAGCATCTGTGGCTGGCACTTACCCACACCCATCCTTAACAGATGCTCTGCGAAAAAATGGGAAAATGCACAAGGTGGCAGAGAAGAACGAAGCACAACCGTTAGCATCAGAGGCCAGCAGATGCTCTCCCTGCAGCCAAGGCCAGCCGGGCAGGGTGCAAAGTGAGAGGTCTTGAAGGATATTCTCCTTCTGGGGAGGGAGGCTTCTCCCCCACATCTCTACTGGCCAGAGAAGGGCGATGCCCAGAGCAAATTCACAAGAAGCTTAGGAGAAAGAGAAGGTGGCAAGGGCAGCTGGAGGACGGATGTATAGGGCTCAACAAAGAAAGGGGGTCTATTCTATCAGGGCTGTCTGTAGAATATGGTAAAGAAAAAGGTGCAAAGCATATAAAAAACAGGCAGAGCTTTGACTGCACCATCGTGGCCACCATCTTGACTTTTCTGACCATATCCTGCAGACACCTCTACCTCATATACATGTTTACTCAGATGTAAGTTGCACTGCACTCCATGCAATTTTCTCCCAAGGAAGTCTGAACAATGAGCAAACTTCAGAGTGGTGAGAAATAGTCACCCCCACTTCAAGGTGCTGCTCGGGCCCTTGGTTCTGGATGGGCTGCCCACAGGAAGACTTCATGAGGCTGAACAAGCAGGGGAAAGCCACGAATAAGTCAATGTGGATCTCCTTTTACAGAGGCAGCTCCTCTCTTCTAAGCTAGCCTGGGATCCTGTCTGGGTGAGGTTCATGAAACCCTGGCCTCGCCCCATTTCCCCTACCTCCAACTCACTTACCTTGCTCTTTCTTGAATTCATTTTCACTCATGAACACTGGAGCCATAAGCTCCCCAACTGGTGATTGGATGGACAGGTAAAACTGGCGAGTGTTTGTGCTAAGGAGAGAAACACAGCAGCCAAAATGAGCTAGGAACTACTGTGCCCAGAGAAATGGGAGTATTTGCAAGTTCACCCACTATCTGCTCTAACACACTGCAATTTGTCTCTTTGAACGGCTATGTTTTCCCTTCCTTTTCTTTTTACTGGTTTCCTGCCCCCATGCTTACAAATCCTCCAAACTATTTTAAAAATATTAAAAATATAAAATTAAAAATTAAAAATATAAAAAAGTATTTTAAAAAGAGAGAACGCTTAACAAGAGAAAACTCTCTGCATATTCCTTTCCGAGATCCAGTAAGGACATTTTATTTAAGCCAGTGTTTTAAAACCTGGGCAACATGCAGATGTACGAACTAACAGCCAGCATTCCCCAGCCAGCATGGCCACCTTGGCTGAGAATTCTGGGAGCTGAAATCTACACATCTGGAAGTTGCCACAGTAGAGAAACACTAGCTTCAAGATTATGTCTGCAATTCCACACCTCCATCAGTATATTGCTGGTTTTTCTACAGCACTTGATCTTCACGCCTGCTTCTAGACAATCATAGGGTTTAGTCACTGTGTAAGCAATTCTTCAAGACAAATCTAATTTTCCCAGGTGGTCTCTTACCAGCTGAGATTTTAAACATGTTCTTCTTCTACAGCCTTTTCAGATGCCTATTTTATAAAAAGCAATATTTAAACAGTAAGCTTAAAGGGAGTGCTTAGTCATGAATGCTGTTTTATTGATGCTTTGTTTTCCCAATGTTTAAGACCCTACGATTATTATGATTCAGTTTGTGACTCAGCACGTTCAGAGGACGAGCGTATGAACCCTGGGCTGCCAAGACCAGAGAAATGTAACGCTGGCAGAGAAAGCTGAAAAAATGACTGCATGGGACATTCTGACGAGTTCAAAAACAGCCTAGCACAAAAGGGCAGCTGAGCTCCTGTGACGGTCTTATGCTACAAATATTTTCAGTGTGGCATCCAGGGATGACAATTTCCTTGTATGTGGCTCCCTTAACCAATCGTTGTAGACTCTTAATAAAAGAAAAAATCTATGGGAGGCTTCCATGCTCAAAGCAAAATATCAGCCTCAAGCCTGACTTGTGTTTGGGACTACACAGATCCCATAAATATTTTTAGAAAATACAGCACGTCCCCAGGTACAGCAGTGACGGGGGCCCCACTGGAAGGTTTGAAGCATCCGGTTTGGAACAGATTGTCCTAGAGAAAATCCATCGACATAGTTGCAAAGAGTCAATGCCAACTTGATGGTATATAATCAATCCATCAGCTAAGCACTTTGTGACTGGGCGTACTTCTAACAGTGATCATTTTGAGAGTGCCTGTAACATCCTCACAACACTCCAAATGTGTCCACTGGCCCCAGAATGGTTCTTGACCCCTACCTTGGACTGTAACTGTGGGTTCATTGTCATCAGAGGTGGTGATGGCCATTAATTTAGATGGTTTTAAAACAGGGCTAGACAAACTCATGGAGGATTGGGCCTTCAATGGCTACAAATCCGGATGGCTGTTTGCTACCTCCAGAATCACAATAATCTGCTGGAGGCAGCACTAGAAGTCAGCCATTGCCTTTCTGCCCCTCTTACAAACTTCCTAAATCCATCTGGTTAGCATCTGCATGACACAGAACATAGGATGAGAGAAGTTCTTGATCTGATGCAGAAGGACTCATTCTTCTGTTCTTCAGTCCTGCCTGTCCTGACCATTGTACAGGATGTTATGGAAAGCACAACACTGCAGAAAAATGAGGTACAGCAGGTACTCACCACAACTGGAAACTGGCCACCTGGGTAGAGTCGCAGAAGTCTATGCCCATTACCACACTGACTGTTTCACCAGGTGCCAGAGACTCTGCAGGCACAGGGGAAAGAGCCAAAGAAGGATGTTAGGAGAACAATTGTTCACAACTCTACCAGAAGAGTAGGACAGCACAGAGGTTTCTCCAGCTCTCAAACAGTATGCAGTGACATATGCCAAATGGCCAGGAGTGATCCTAAATGCATTGGACTGTTGTACTTCTCACCCATAAATTGAGTATATATACAGTATACAATGTATATTGAGTATACATTGACTATAACAGTGTTTTCCCCAATGTGGGGTCTTTCATATAGGCTGGAATTATGACTCCACACTGGTTGGAAATCCTGGGAACTGTAGTTCCAATCAACAGGTTATAGAAAGGCACTCTCACTGGCTCGGCCAAATGATCAGGAACAACTAGACTCACTTGAAAATGCCACCTTCCCAATGTTGTTCACCACTTATCCCAGAAAGAGCCCCCCAAAACACATGTCCCATACCAATCTCCTTGAACTCCTGGATACGCATGCCTGAGAGTAGCTTCGGCTCAGTAACACGGATGTTTTTCACTTCAGCTGCCATGTTATTAGAGATCTGGATCTGCACAGCTACCATGCGGGGGTCAGGAGCAAAAGGTTGCCGGCTGAAATAGTATTCAACTGAGAGTCCTTCCCCAGTCATCCGATGCAGCAGCTCATATGTCTTCACTGCTCCAAAGACAGGACTGATCATCTACAGAGTGTAAGACCAAAAGAAGGAAAAAACAAGTTGATTCCATGAAGGAGGAAGATGGGCAAGAAAACAGGTGAAAATTAAAGAGAGCCCTCATCAGGCATTAAATTACTAAATTCCTAAGGATAAAAATAATTATCTCAATTCCCAGCTGGTTTGGGGGGAATCCTATTTCCCTTTAGAGATATAGTGGCACCTAATTACAAATCAGGAGCTAGAAACAAAAGAAGTCATCACGCTGACCATCAGCAGCTCACTAGGGTTTCAAACAGATGTTTTTCCCAGTCTTACTTGCTGTGGATTGAATCTGGGAAAAACAACCGCTTAACACTGAGATACAGTGGTACCTCGGGTTACGAACGCCTCTGTTAATGAACTTTTTGGGTTACGAC